CCTTTGCGCAGTTCTGCCCCGGTGTATCCCGGCACCCTTTGCGCAGTTCCGCCCCGGTGTATCCCAACACCCTTTGCGGCAATTCCGCCCCGGTATATCCCGGCACCCTTTGCGGCAGTTCCGCCCCGGTATATCCCGGCACCCTTTGCGCAGTTCTGCCCCGGTGTATCCCGGCACCCTTTGCGGCAGTTTCGCCCCGGTATATCCCTACACCCTTTGCGCAGTTCCGCCCCGGTGTATCCCTACGCCCTTTGCGGCAGTTCCGCCCCGGTATATCCCGGCACACTTTGCGGCAGTTCCGCCCCGGTATATCCCTACACCCTTTGCGCAGTTCCGCCCCGGTGTATCCCTACGCCCTTTGCGGCAGTTCTGCCCCGGTATATCCCGGCACCCTTTGCGCAGTTCCGCCCCGGTGTATCCCTACGCCCTTTGCGGCAGTTTCGCCCCGGTATATCCCGGCACCCTTTGCGCAGTTCCGCCCCGGTGTATCCCTACGCCCTTTGCGGCAGTTCTGCCCCGGTATATCCCGGCACCCTTTGCGCAGTTCCGCCCCGGTGTATCCCGGCGTGCCCCGCGCTCCCTCACGGCCGCCATGGCGCAGGGCCGGCCCAAGGCCGCGGCCAAGCGCCCCAAGGCGGCGGCGGCGGCGGCAGCGGCGGCCCGGAGCGCTCGGGGCCCGCGGAAAGGAGGTGCGGTGGCTCCCAGGGCCGGGGGACGGGGCCCGGGCGGGCCCGGGGGTCTCCCCGCGGTGCGGGCGGGGGGAGGCCTCGGCAATCCGGGCGGCTCCGGTTCGGCGGGGGGGCCCCGTGGGAGCCCCGGGCGGTCCCCGGTGCCCTCCTGAGGGAGCCCGGGGCTCCGCGGGGCTCAGCCCAGCCTCGCTCCCCGCAGGCCGCACCATCGCCCCCAAGAAGCTGCGCGTGATCCAGCAGCAGAAGCTGAAGAAGGTGAGTGGGGGTCCCGGGGGTCTGGGGGCTCTCCCCGGGCCCCCCTGACCCCCCCAATGCTCTCGCAGCGCCTGGAGGTCGGGATCCGGATGCGGATCGAGCGGGAGACCGTGCAGCGGGCGCAGGGCGCGCTGCCCAAGAAGCTGGCCCTGGTCACGGCGCCCAAGGCCGGCAGGGACAGCGCCAAGAAGGGCCGCGCCTGAGCCCGAAACCCCCCGGGAGCGACCCCCGAGCCCCTCCGTGAGCTGCACAAGGGTCTGGGGGCGTCCGGGATGATTTCATTCCCCCGGGAGCGACCCCCGAGCCCCTCTGGGGCAATCCGGGCTCTGCTCAGCCCTTAATAAACGGGATTTGTGTCCTGCCCACACCCGCGGGGCCGTGTCCGGTCTTTGGGGGTCGCAGAAGGGACTGGGGAGCTCCTGGAGGGGATATTTGGGGAGGGGGTGAACTGTGGGGGGGTCCTGAGGGGGTCCCGGTGCCCCCGGGAGGTGGGTAAAGGGTCCCCG